GACAATGTCTGACATGTCACATTGTGTGTAGTCCTGCCCTGTCATCTTGGATTGTTGCTTGTAACATCAATCACTGGATTGTCTGGTCCCAACTCTTGTGGATGAGCTGTGATTAGGGCTGTGACGATGCATCAAACTATCTATGGATTGCAATTGTGGAATCTCCGATAGCAATTAATCGATGGTAGAAACGAAAAACTATTGATGCATTGATAGTATATGTGACTATCGATAGTTTAGTAATTGACTTACCCTCAATAGTCACCCCTAGCTGTGATATTGCTGAAATATTTTTATCATAGCAAGCGAATATTCAAACAAAACTAACAAAAGTCTTCAGAAGCAGAAATCTCTTTGATGTTTTGATTATCTTGTTAATCTGAAATGTCTGAAATGAGAGCGGACCCAGCCGCCTTGCATTCCTTGAGTGTGTCCTATGGTATTTATATTTTGGTACCTACTAAATATTTTATAGAGTTGGCCATTCTCAATGCTTTTTTGGCCAAGTGAAAACTGTGTGAAATGAGAAGTTTTCTCCAAATCTATAAAGTTATTTTAATGAAAGTTTGCATGGATATCTAAGATATCTTGTGAAGAATGAATTTGACAACTGGTTCCATAAATAATTGTTTTGATGCTTGTCATGTTTTTGAACGACTCTTTCCATGCCCTAGTACATTTTCTTAATGGCTCTCCCTGCAAAGATTTGTTGTGGATGTAGTTTATATTTCACCATAAAATTCCATTTTCACATTACTCTTGTGAGTAAGTGTATTATTTTGTTATGGCCTTCTATTAGAAGCTGTCCATTATTCACCCTGACCCACCCTAACATAAAATACATGAATGGTCCCTAAGCACCCCTTGATTAGCTTCAAAACCAGTCTGTTGGTAATCTCTGTAAGCACCCCTGTTATATGAAAAATATACATGATTGTGTACCAGGGTACATTTCACATTGTTTGCAGAAAATGCTGCAGAATGGGTATGTAATTGCTGGCCTAATTAAATGCCAAGTGACTGTTATTGAAAACGATTGTTTCATCAACAGTATAGTGAATATGTCTGATGCATAAAGTTTGTTTTGCAACAAAGACTAAACTGACAATGTTGACAAATTGAGATAAAGAAGCTAAACTTGGGTCATTCTTGATGGAGTCTGTCCAATTAATGAGTCTTATATTGAATCACGGTATGCTTCAATTTCTGCTTCTGTCCAACACAATAAATAATGTTGGACTAATGAAGGGGTGACATTTGATTTTCAGTGTTAGATGATGTTAATGTAGAATCAAGACTATTCCACATGACACTGCAAGTGATAGCAGGGTACAACAGTCTAACATATTTAAGAGATATCAAACACTCAAGAAAATTGTCAATTCTTTACCTATTCCAATGCATTACAAAATCTTTGATGTTTTTCCAAGGCCTAAGGATTATAGTTTTAGACCAAACATGGTATTAATTCAGTACATCCCAGGAAGCATACAGGAAGTTCTGGATAGCTGGAGAATACAGTGTATATGACATGGACATGAATAAACTCTAAAGATTCCCTGTTCAGAGTAAAGACAATTCTTCACCTGTTTCATCATTTGAGTTACCTGAGTTCACACCCTATACTTTGGATTTCCCCACGAATGTGTTCATACCTGATTGGCTGTACACTGAGTCATGCAGTATGGAGCTAAAAATAGCGTCTTCCTTAGCAGTGTTTTGGGTGTTGATCAACTGCAGGAGATTGTGGTGGTTCATAGACAGGATTCCTGTTGCTTTTGTAAATGAACATCAACTTTAATGAAGACGCAGTTTCACGATGCTTTCTGCAAGAGGTATGCAACTCTGTTAATTGACTGTTACCTGTGGTTGAGGCTTGAAGGGTGTGAGAGGTGCAATGAGGTTAACCTTTCATCATCTGTGAGGAAGTTTGTCGTGTGACTATAGCTATGGCTTAGGTTATCAACATTTTTGTTCTGGAAATTAATACTGAGCTGTGCTCTTTTGTAGCTGAAATTCATATGAATTGCTTTGAAATATGGACCATGACAACCAAATTTGACTAAATATTTTGATCATTATTCAAATTCAAATGCACACACAAATTACTCATAAATGTATTTTTATATCATTGTAATGTGCTGACAAAGTAATATTTACTGGTTTACACAAACTACTGGGAATGTAATATTTCTTACTCATGTTGTCATCACTTTTAGCAAATGTACTTGGGCGTATTCTCATTAGCAGAAATTCATAAAAGTGGCTTAAAAAATATGGATCATGACCTTATTTGATAGTTGTTTTAAGCATTATTAAAGACCAAATATTAATCCTAAATGTATTTTTATAATATTCATGTACTGTGCAGATACTTACACAAACAAACGATTAATGTAAAATTTCTTTCAGTCATCACTTTTAGCAAATGTACTTGGGTGTATTCTCATTAGCAGATGTGTGTATATTGGATGAGTCTTTGGAATGTTTGAAATTTGAGAAAGAAATGTTAAGAGAGTCCTCTAAATCATACTGTCAGAAACCTGAAGGCCCGGAATAAACCCTGTTTATTTTAAACATATATCTCTGGTATTTGCACACATGCAAATCTGCACTTGGTGTGTGGTCAGGTATTTATTTGTGAGCTGGGGTGGTATGTGGGTATTATTTAGGGTATATTCAGAAGGATTCATTAAGCATTTATTAGTTAGCTGTTATGAAGATTTAAAATATTTAATACAAACAAAATCGAAGGCTGAATATATTTGTTGGTATCGATTCTTTGTCATCACAGTCATGTTCAATAGAAGTTAGCATGTTATTAAAAAATTGTGTACGGTAGCTTTTGATGAAATGGATACCTGAGTGATTAACAAAACCAAGTTAGATTTCTTTAAGAAATATGAGTGTCACTCCACGACATCACCAAAACTCAATGATAAGCTCCTTTTGCTGATGAAATGTTGACCCTCGACCCTGACAACACGGACTTGGCTCTTGGCCAAGCACATGCTGAAAGCTGCCACATGGGCAGAAATAGGTCATGCTGTCACTAATTATAGTAATGATGTAATACTGCCTGAGCTTTGTGGAGGTGTTCATTCATATATTGCTGTACCTGCATTTTATAGCCACACATTTCTCTGTAGTTTATATGTTTTAATGATTTCCAAGTCAGGAATGCAACCTTCTGGTTTATTTGTTAAGAAAACCTGTGGTGATGCTCGCTTGACCTCCTTACCTCCCTGTGTGAGTTGACCAAGAGGTTTTTGAGGTCAGGCTTGGGGACAGCATTTACTGTTTGTGGTAAATTGCTAATAATGCCCTTCACTGATTTCCTAGCTCAACATTCAGTCATTTTTAGACCACCATGATGTAACTGGAATATTCCTGACCGTTAAGCAAAGTAATTTCAAATACTTGCATGAAAGATGTTGAATAAAAAAACTAAGATTTCTATCAAAGCCCATATTGTATCTTTCCCTATCAAAAAGTAGAACAGTGATCAAGTTGTATTGATGATATGATTAATTATCAGATTGTCAATTTTTTTCCAACATTATCAGCACTCAACTTTTGCCATCATAACCATAGTTGTGAACAATGAAATTATATTTTCAAAAGAACATAAACAGGGGTGGAAATAACCCATTGCCCGACGTCCGAGTCCGGTGTTTATTTCTGGTGGGCAAGCAAATTTGTATATCACACTGTACCGGTGTCCAGTTGACTTTCCAATGTTAATTACTTATGTTGTTTATTTAAAAAATCAACAAGAAGACGGCCGGTATAGTGGAAAACTTATCAGGGCAAGTGATTTTACGTGTGATACTGTAACAGAGTACACTAGCAATTTTAAAGTTATTTCCACCCCTGATGAATGAATATGACACTAGTCCTTCAATTTAAAGGATATTACTTTAATGTCGTCGTGACAGTGACCTTGACGTATAAGGGACCATTAATTGCTGTGCAGAATTGTATCCCTTTACCAGAAATGTTATGTTGGTTTATATTCAGGTTGCCCCTGATCATGGTTGTCTGTAGTCAGGACTCAGCACTATACAGATGCTCATAGGTTTCCACAAAGTAGTATATAGCTTAGCACCTGAATACACCATGGCATTTAGAAAGTGGTCAAATGTAACATATGTTATGTTTGGGATTACACTTTCTCAGTAAAGTACCGATTAGTGGTGGTCCGATTAATTGAAATAATCGAAGATTGGTCTCTGTGACTAAAGATTGGTCACTGCGACTAAACGACGAAGCAATCGATCATGTTTTCTCTTGACGAACACAATTTTGGAACATATGTTTGCATTAACAATACTTTTCACAAAGCTGGTTGTGTCTGTTCCATTATTTAGGACTAGAAGCTCGTTCCAAGTCATGATTGAATTTATCTTAATGACTTAAAGGAAATTTATGTTCCTAACATACTAGTCATCCTTTAAAGATGTGAAATTTGCAAATGCTTTGTGTGCAATCTAAAAAACACCCCAAAGAACTACCTGTTTTTTCTTTACTTTTTGTGCATTAACATAACTGGAAAAAATTGAAAAATGACGCTAACCAATTATTTTCGATGATTGATCGGTTGTAATGAACCAGTCATCAATTATGAGATTTTACCAAATTCACAACACTAGTACCGATTGTAATACTTTTGTTGGGTTGAGTCCCATCTGGGATTCAAACTCAAACCCTCAGAGTCAGGCACCTATTCACCAGCACATAAAGTCAGACGCCTAATCTGCTCAGCCACTGTGGCTTCTACAAAGTCGTCACACTTTGTGTGCTGGCGATTAGGTGCCTGACTGAGGGTGTGGGTTCAAATTGGAAGAGACAGAGGCACTGGGCTGGGCTAAAGCCACAATGTCATACACTCACTTTGAATGTTTCAGGTGAGCATCTCTGCCTTGAATTACATTTCTTTGTTCTTAATCTTAATCCTATTAAAGTTTTACTTAATATTATCCTTATTTATCTCTCCCCAGAGCCATTACGGCGGACACGCCCACCAAGCAAAAAGCGATTGGATGATGAGGTGGATGCTCTCATGGTAGAGATCCGTGAGAAGGAAGCAGAACTTGTATCCTTGCAATCAGAACTGGACTTAATAGCTGACTAAATGACCCATTTTAGGATGATTAGCAATGTGTTTGGTTGAAGTATTATTGTAAATAGAACAAGGTTTCTTCAGTGGGTTTTCTTCAAGTGATGAATGATCTAGGATAGAACTCTGAGTGTATTATTAATTCAAATTTCATCTAGAGGTCTGACCTAAGAAGGTCCGTGTTAGAATTGATCTTCTGTAACCCATACTTGTTGTAAGATGTGACTAACGGGATCGGGTGGTCAGGCTCGCTGACTTGGTTGACACGTCATCGGTTCCCAATTGTGCAGATCGATGCTCATGCTGTTGATCACTGGATTGTCTGGTCCAGACTCGATTTTTTACAGACTGCCGCCATATAGCTGGAATATTGCTGAGTGCAGAGTAAAACTAAACTCACTCATTCACTCACTCACTCATCTAAAGGTCTTATTAATAGCTCAGCTTTGAACATTATTTGAAGAATAATATATTATTCTGAGGTATGTTGGTATACGTAAAGCTTAAATTCTTCAGTAAAGATGCCTTGACTGGATGCAGAAATCAATTGGAGGTCGAGGTGAGGATTCCCTGAAGAATATAAGAGCAGAGAAAGACGCTACCTTTGAGCGGAGGAAGAAGGTAGATTCTGACCTGAAAACCCTCAATCAGGCCATAACGCAGAAGGTAAGATGGCGAACGTTGTTATTAAACATTTAGAACAGGCCTCCTGGGGTTCTGGGTAAGACTACATCTCCAGCAGCCTGTGCTGACATCAGAAATAAATCAGATTGTGGTGACATACTCAGTCACCTGGTTTATTGTCATACCCTGATTGGGTGGATTCTAGTTAATGACATCAGGTAGCCAATCACACAATTTGTTTATCAGAGTATGTTGATTAAACACTCATATGTTCTCAAAGAGCAGTTCCGGATACAGTTATCTGGAAAATAATTTCCAGTTGACAGAGAGCTCCTGCTGGCACATAATGCGTAACATTGTACAAGTATAACATGAGTACCTGGACTTGATTACATACAGGCTGCTGGAATATTGCTGGAATATTGCTGAGAGCTATGCTTGCATATTTTTACCATTTGACTATATAAGCAGATTTATGTTATGCTTAACATGCAAGATAAACCGATAAACATTTTGATTGTTTCATAAACAAAGTATGTATTTAAGTGGTCAGAACTTGCAGTAGTTAGTGTCAATAGGTATGAAGTGTATTGTAGTTTTATGTTCCTCAAGTTGACAAGGGTAAATTATGTTCAGCCTTGTGTTTAATTGTAGTAGACTGTATTCGTATTGAGCCAAATTGACTCTATATCAGATTCATATTAGAATCTCTATATTGGACTTGCCATGTTACATAGGGTTACTTATTATCCCCTGCCGTGCGTTTAGCGCGAAGCGGGGGATATAGTATTAGGCTCCGTCCGTCCGTCCGTCCGTCCGTCCGTCCGTCCGTCCGTACGAATTGGAATATCTTAAGAACCGTTCTCTAGATTCTTTTCATATTTGGTACCTAGGTTCATCACAGTATAAGAAAGGTCCAAGTCAGGTGTGGTGACCTTGACCTTCATTTCAAGGTCACAAGGGGACTTTCACGTTTTACCTGCATGTTAAGCTATCTCAAGAACCGTTTACTGGATTTTCTTCATATTTAATACAAAGCTTTATCTAGGGAAGGCGCAGGGCCCAGTCGATTTTGGTGACCTTCACATAATTTTCAAGGTCACAGAGACACTTTAAAGATTTCAGCATGTTAAATTGCATGTTAAGATAGTCAGCAAGATATCGCAAAAAATATTCAGTGGATTTTCTTCATATTTGACACCAAGCTTATTGAGGGAAGGCCAAGGGCCCAGTCAATTTTGGTGACCTTCACATAATTTTTAGGGTCACGAGGGCACTTTGAAGGTTTCAGCATGTTAACCTGAATTGTCAGCAAGATATTTCAAGAACGGTTCACTGGAATTTCTTCATAGACTTTCAAGACCTCACTTGAATGTTTTTCAATAAGCAATTTTTTAGTACTAGTTTTGTATATTAATTGCGGCGGGGGGTTATGTCACCTTAGTGACAATGCTTGTTGTGTTTTCAGATGAATGCTCTGTCCAAATTGCAGTCCAGCCTCCACTACACTACGGAGGAGAAGCACAATGATGCCATCAGGTATTACCTTACCTCACATAGAAATGTTGTTTTCTGATTGTCTGAGCCAATCAATGTACCCTGCTTACAAGTGAGTAACATTCCCTATTTTACCCGCTGGAAATGCCAAACTGTGGGAATTCGTTTGGTACTTTAGTGGTGGTGTTTGGGCTGTTGCCTAACTTCAGTACTCGAGAGTGGAAGGTCGCGGGTTCGATCCCTGACCGCGTCATACCAAAAGACGTGAAAATATGGTACTTGTTGGTCCCTGCCTGGCGTTCGGCATTAATGGGTACAACAAGGACTGGTCGGCTCGGAGTCAGTATAATGTGTCTGAGTGGGGTATTCATGCTTCACTGCGGCATGGTATCTCAGTGGGCTAGCACTATAAAACCAGCTTAAGTCTGGGCTAGTACAAGCAGCCGCACATACACATACACACACATGCACGTCGTCATATGAGCGAAATATTCTCAAGCACGTCGTTACACCCAATTTCACCTCACCTCACCTCACCTCACCTCACTTCAGTACTCCTTATTTTAATCCAATACCCGTGCTTCAAACATTGATGTACCCTCTATGTTTGTTATGTTCCCTGGGCCTGAAGCTCCCTGTCCCCCATGAACAACTTATAATGTTGTGATCACCTGAGGTACAACTACAACATAGCAACAGCGTCAAGATTATTTGGAACATTTTGTCCTCAATAACCCTGGCAACCTACTGCTTGTCATACCAATCAACATAAATGAAGTGGGTTGTCAAACTTGATGAATTGGTTGAGTGTGTGTGTCATTTTACCTTGACAGTATTGCTCATAACATCAATCACAGATTTGCCTGGTCCAAAAGTGTGGAACTTATGGAATATCCATGATGTGTTGATGATAAAACAATTCCAAACCAGTAACGCAGTGTTGTGTATGTTAATCACAATTGTTTTGTAAGGCACACATAGTAATAGCAGGGATTTACAGGATGCGAATTCCTGTGTCCTTTACGCATAAAAGTTGACAATGGACGCAACAAAATTTAGTAGCGTGTCCACAGGGACTCAGAAAAAGTCAAATACATAAAAATTCCCATCAAGTAACAATAAGTTATCACTGAGTTTGCTACTAGCTGGGCTGTGGTATTATTTGCAATTTAATTACTGTAACAATGTGATGATCATGATACACAATACAATAACAGTATTAATAATAATATTTAAGTGTCTGGGATCCCATTTTGTTGTCCAGGATCACTGAAGGGACCCTCAAATACAGGACTCCATGTAAATCCCTGGTAAATAGTACAACAGAACATATGTTTAAGCTTTGAATGATGTCTATTGCACTAAATATTTATTCTTGTAGGAAACTGGAGTGGAACATGAAGGTACAGAACTTCAAACTGTCACAGGAAAAGAAGATTGTTGCTGAGATAGACAGCTTGAAGAGATCCAAGAAAATGCTGAGGTTTGTTATGTCAACTGTTTGTCCATGAATTGAACATATATTCAGCCATATTGTTATGGACATGAAAATGATGTGTCTACATATGTCAGATGGTAAAGGTTTTCTGCAGTAATAAAGGATTAATCATCTTATGTTTGTAAGAGTATCAAATGATACAATATATTCTCCTAATTTTGATTGGCACACAAGAGGCTGAATTTAACATGAAATGTACTTTCAAGTAGTAAGTAGTAATAATTGATTACCAGAAAGCTGATTGTCTACAGCAGAATCAACCCGTGAAGATCCGGGGTAGAATAGGTCTTCAGCAATCCAGGCTTGCCACAAAAGGCAACTATGCTTGTCGTAAGAGGCAACTATCGGGATCGGTTGGTCAGGCTCGCTGACTTGATTGACACATGTCATCGCTTCCCAATTGCACAGATCGATGCTCATGCTGTTAATCACTGGATTGTCTGATCCAGTCTCGATTATTTACAGACCGCTGCCATAGAGCTGGAATATTGCTGAGAGTGGCATAAAACTAAACTCACTCACTCACTCACTCTACAGCAGAATCAGTGTCTTCATCTAAGGTTGTTGGGATTTACATGGGTAAACTGTGTGAAGACTATTTGTTGTGTTCCCCATAGGGATATTACTAAAATATTGCCATCACAAGGGTGGAAATAAACCCATTGCCCGACGTCAAAGTCCAGTGTTTTTTTCTGTCGGGCAAGCAGATTTGTATATTACACTGTACCGGTGTCCAGTTGACTTTACAACATTAATTATGTTGTTTATTTTAAAAAATCAACAAGAAAACGGATGTTATAGTGGAAAAATTATCAGGGCAAGTGATTTTACATGTGCCACTGTTCCGGAGTACACTAGCAATTTTAAAGTTATTTCCACCCCTGCATCACCACAGAGGCATAAATGCTCTCTCACTGTGTGTTGTGTTTCAGTTCCTACCTGTCTATGAAGAAGGAGATTGATGAGAGTCGGGACAGACAGCGGCGTATGAGGGAGGAGCGCGACGTGAGTGCAGCTCTGTCATATGTTGAGGGGCAGTGGGAGAGTCTAGTTGTTAATGTGTTTGCTGTTCACACTGAACGCCTCAGTTTGCTTCCACACACGGGACATGTATGAAGCCTATTCCTGGTGTGTCCTGCATTGTTGCTTAAAATCCCTGAAATGGTAACTTGAACTGAAGTGACCATTGGCTAGCACTGTAAATTTATTTTTGTGTGAGATGTTCTATATATCAGAGTGGGATATTTCTTAACTGTTTGAATAAAAATACCTCAATTTCTTTGTGAACTTTTCCACTTCAGCTCTGTATAATTGATATTTGGCCCATCATTTAGTCATTGATTGGTCACTTGGCATTTATATCATTCTGGGGCGCTGGGGTAGCCTAGTGGTTAAAGTGCTCGCTCGTCACGCCGAAGACCCGGGTTCGATTCCCCACGTGGGTACAATGTGTTAAGCCCATTTCTGGTGTCCCCTGCCGTGATAGTGCTGGAATATTGCTAAAAGCGGTGTAAAACTAAACTCAATCACTCACTCATATACTGAGATTGCACTGTAATCTACCTTTCCAGCACTACTTCCGTACTGTCAACCAGTTGAAGGCTAAGGAAGAGGACATCAGAAAGAAAAACTCCGCCAACAAATCGCGGGCAGAAGTACTTAAAAAAGGTAACTACTGAAAAGCATTCAGATCGGTCATGTCAGAGGCATGGTCTAAGGGGAGATAATGTGAAATAAGGGGAGATAATTGATACTGAACCAAACCCAAAGCCTTTCAACCCACACTGTTGTTGAAGTGGAACACTTTTTATGGATAGACAGCTTCTTTGCTGCAGTAGTTGAGACGTTTCGGTGTAGATCCTAACACCGTTATGAAACAAATGTCAACGGTGTTAGGATCTACACCGAAACGTCGCAACTGCTGCAACAAAGAAGTTGTCTATCCATAAAAAGAGTTCCACTTCATCATACCAGCTTCTAAATGCCACTTAAGGAAGTCACACTGTTGTTGATTCCTTGCTTTTTATGAAGAATCTTAATACTAGAAATTAAATATTAGATTCCGTGCTTTGCCAGAAGTATTGATTAGTATGAAGAATTATGGCATATATTTTGTATCATTATGTGACATTCTTGAGAAGTACAAATAAAGCCGGGGCTGCTTTGATATCAATTCATGAAGTATGATATTGTTTGCCTGAATGACATTGCTTGTATGTGGCTGGCTTAGTGTTATTTTTGAATGTTGTTAGTACAAGAAGAATTATCTCCCCTTGATAATCTTCTCATCAGCTTGTGACTTTTGCTATTTGAGAATTAAACATCACCTCCATATTCATTATTTTTTAGAAATCAACGAATTATATGAGAGAAAGCGTAGTATTGTGTCTGAATTCCGAAAACAGAGGGATGTATTTCAAGATACCATGAAGAGACAGCGAGCAGAGAGTTTCAGAAAAAGAGAGGAGGAGAGACGAGCACTGTTAGAGGCTCAGCAGAAGGAAATGTAAGGAGATACACCCTTTCTAACACCTTGAACTCTAACAAAGTCATCCCAGGAGGGTGACAGCTGGAAAAAATATTACCCATTACTACGGTAACCGCCAAACAATCCACCGAGAAGCCGTGTCGCTAACGATTGTTTGACATCGTAATTTGAGGCATGTAGTGCACAGAGTTCAAAAACTGTTCGATTAGCTGTTTTTGAGTTCACTATGTACACACTTATTTTACCGACTTTCACTGCTTTATTTAAACTATTTTATACTTTGAATTGTTTGCACGCTCAAGTTAAACATAATTAACCATTTTTATGGCAGTTTTATGCTTGTCAGAATATGTTTCACTGATTTTGAAAATCCAGTCGAGAGGCAGACACCATTTTGTTTACATGTCAAATAGTCGGTAGCGAGCTTATCTATCTTCAAAATAAAATAAAATGATCTTTTGTACATTTAACATGGTGGTGAGATGTTAAGTCACAAGTCACCGGTCGGGTGACACTGTTACAAAGAGGCGTACATCACACCGTATAACCCTCGAGAGGAACATACAACTTATATCACACTGTAGAGCACTCAGTATGTGATTGATTGATGTTGATATCAAACATTGTGACCAGATACAGTTAGAACTTTTTTTGTGTTCTGCTTATTTGACTTTTAGTCAGTTACTATCTACTTGTACGTAAAAGTGATAGTCAACAGGTAAATGTGACAGGTTCTTCTTGAATGTCACCAGCTATGATGAACAGATCTATATTTCAAACTCTGGATTTTTTAATGACATTGTCAGGTGACTCAATGAGATGAACATGCTGTTTTAGAGAGGAGATGGAGGCGCTGAAGGAGCCCTTTGAGGATGAGAAGAGCCTCTGTAATACCCTTATACAGTATCTTCAAAAGATAGGTCCCAGTGGCGACACCACCGATGCATCCGCCTCCTCACATCCCACAGAAGAGGCAGCCAGTAGTAGTCTAGGTTTGACATTGTCTTATCTCAAGAGTTAAATCATGAAATGCTAATGTTGTCCAAATCTGTCCAATATAACTCTAAGCCCATTTCTGGTGTCCCCTGTCGTGATATTGCTGGAATATTGCTAAAAGTGGTGTAAAAACTAAACTCACTCATTCACTCTTTTCTGAATCGGTACCAGTTAAGCCTGTATGGATCCATTCTCAAAGAAAGTATATTGTTTATCTGGTACAGACTTGAGCAGTCTGATATTGCCACTTGTCTGATGCACAAGACTAGGTGTTGTAAAATCATCTAAGGCCAGACCAATTTTATTTCTTGTTTTAAGGATCCGCCGGTTGTATTTTTTCAAGAATAATAAAAATAAAATTAATTTTCCCCGCTCACAAAATAAAATTTTAATATTTTCATTGGCCAAAAATGTAAATGTGCAAGAAAATGTTTTTAGATTGTTTTTTGCCCCATATACACTTCATAAACTGCCAAAAGTAAAATACTTTTAGTATTTAAAAGGAATATTACTTCGACTGGTTATTTTTATTATTATTTTTTTTCCCTCCTGCCTTTAGGTTTTCTGAGGACAAAAATCTGTAAAACAAAAAAATAAAATTGGTCTGGCCTAATAAATAACAACACTAAAAGTTTCAGGAAGTGATGCTAAAAGCCAAGTTTTTGGACTTTAAAGGTTTGGCACAGAGTGCATTAACAGGCTACTGTCACACAGCTGTAATATTTGTGCATGCAGTGTTGAACAAAAAACAAACCACCAGAAACTGATGAGGAAGTTTTTATGTGGTTAACCTGACTGAAGAATGTTTGAGTCAAGTTTGGATGAAATTTTGAAAGTTTGGTATTTATAGCATTTTATGAGTACCAGACCTGGGTTTTTTTTCACCTGAGAAATTAATCTGTTTTATTTGTTTCATTACAGCATGTGCCCCTGCACTTGAGAACGAGGATGGGTATCGCCTTCTGCGGAGATCAGATGAGGAGGAATTCCCTCCCCTTGGTCGCCGTACCAGTAAGAGCCGCCGCCGTAGCCTCAAACTTTCTATGGTCGGTACTTTTTGTACACAAGGTTCCATAAGTATTTTTAACATGGATGAAACAGTTTATATGTTTATTTTCTGCAAAAGCAATAGCCCATTTTGGCTGACACTTCCTAGGCAGACCTATATTGTTTATTCTGCAATAATGTTGTTCCTTTGTCAAATGCTTTTTAGGTAAAATGCAATAATGCATGAAAACAATGTGAACATTTTGAAGCCAAATGAAATACAAATAGAACTAACAAATAATAGCATTAAATATATATATATATATTTTTCAATAAGACAATAACTTTACTTTTCTGTTATTTAGTCGTAAATAAGTGCTGTTGCAAAACAATTCTCCAACCCATGATCCACCACTAAACCTTATGCTGTGTGAAGAGCACTGTAACCATGCCAACTCTGGGATTGAAATGTCATAACAGAGTATGTAACTAAGCCTAACAATTCAGACAGTGGACGTGCTAATCCTCACAAGACACTTGCTTGTTTCAGACCAGGCCAGTGACCCACACCCCCCATGTGATCAGTCAGTTCTCTTCGCTGACCCTGAATGCTCCATCCAGTCTAGTGGAAATCCCAACCTCTCTGGAACAGCTTCAAGGCCGGAAGGTAATGAGCAACCCTTCCTGCCAAATCGTAACCGTGTACTTCTACTTTCACTATCTACTGGTTGCTAGTACTTCAGTTCACTTGTTCGTGATGTTCTTATAGTCTGATTTTTCACCTGCCATCTCATGCTGATTATGTAGTATTGTGCACATTTATGTACTTCCTGGTTGCGATAGTAAGAGCTGAAAGGAACATAGCTAGTCAACTGGGATAGCCTAGAGTCTTGTGGTTTAACCATTTGCTCAGCACGTTCCCTACGATCCGTGAAGTGTTGGGTTAGAATTGATCTTCAGTAACCCATGCTTGTTGTAAGAGGCAACTAACGGGATCGGGTGGTCAGGCTCGCTGACTTGGTTGACACATGTCATCATATCCCAGTTGTGTAGATCAATGCTCATGCTGTTGATCACTGTATCGTCTGGTCCAGGCTCGATTATTTGCATACCGCCGCCATACAGCTGGAATATTGCTGAGTGCGGCGTATAACTATACTCACTCACTCACATGTTCCCTTCAGTTATTGAAAAAGAAATTCACAGAAAACAGATCAGTAAGGATAAAGAAAATTTCTTTTCCAGCTGTACTATGAACAGAAGGCAAGAGAGATGAAGAACCTGAACGCTGACGCTTCCCCTGATGCCTTGCTGTCCGATATATCCAGCCTGCGCCGATGTCGCACAGAGACGTGGGGCTTCATGGGGGACGAACAACCCATTGTGGAGGAACTGTCTCAGAGTGAGGCTGGTATCTCTGCCACTGAAAGCGTCGTCTGTGAGATGTCTCGCCAGGCGAGCAAAACAGAGAGCTGTGAAAGTGCCAACGACACTCGACCTAGCGACATGTTGATGGAAGAACTTCTCCAAACCTGCTGTGATGGCAACTGTGCTGGCAAACTGAAATCAGACTATCATGACATCGATAGCCATTCCCTCTCGGACAGCTCTGACACCCCTCGCAGCGAGTCCACCTTGGAAGGAAGCAATGGGGAATCCATGGGCAGCGGTAACGACTTTGAGAGAGAGCTACATTCTGACAGCCTTCACGCAGGGACACAAAGTCATATATGCAGCTCCAGTGTAGGCAAGCCACTTAACACTACTGAGCACCAACCTCAGGATGTAGGCATTTCCACAATTACCCAACAGCCTGACTGTGATAAGCACACTCGGCGTGATGCCACGACGACCCGCTCTAGTGATAGGACACTTACACCAGTGGGTGCAGCATCAGCTGAAGAGTCTCGACAGACTGACAGACAGAGAGATACTAAAAATATATGTGAAGGCAATGGACATATCAAGACTTCAGATGAGAATTCAAGGACAAGTGAAAATAAAAGTCTTTCAAATCAGACAACAAGGATGTGAGCTGTGGCTAAGAGTCAGCCAAGGTGATTGTCTTGATCTCAAGACTTGCATGCAAGTTGTGTAATTATGATCATATATCTCATTGGTTTGTAGAGGATTTGGCCAAATTTATCAACAATGTGAATTTTAATCATTTTAATTCTTGCTTGTTCAGATGAGTTTGTGAACTTGATAACGTGAAACAGATCCAAATGATGATTATTTTACTTATTAAAAACATTTTTATCAATATTTTAAACTCAAGTTTTTGAATGCTTGAAATATCTGAGTTTTACTTTAAACATTCATGGCAAATTGTATGTGAATGAGTGGGTCAGTTTGGGAAGGTGAGCTCCGCATTTTACCTGCAGACTGTTTTTTTTTTTTTCAATCAGCCTTGGCAGACTTACCATTAGCAATAAGTCTTTTGACACTTCACATGAAATATATAAACCAAATTATTTATTTTGCTTGTGTATGTATTACCATGTTTTGGGCTAGCAGTTTACTGCTAGGTGAATGCATTCATTTGGTTAATATTGGACAATCCTTGTTCTGTGGCAACAGAATTGTAGCATTATTTATGTTTGTATGTGACTCAATTTTTGAATGAAATTGTCAAATGGTGAACATGAGATCATTACAAAGACATCAACTTTTTGCAACTGGATTTGTTATTTGAAACTAAACATTTGCCAAATTGTTGATGACAAACAGCAGACTTAATGAACAGTTTCACCTGTATTTTTGTGTATAATTAATTTAACAGGAAGGTGGGTTTATTTTTACATGATAGTGATGACAATGATACTTATTACATACAAAAATTTGTGGAAAATAATGTTTCGGTGACCACAAAATCCATGTTTCAGTGACAACCACTTGCTTATTGCTGGACTACCTTTTGGATTCATTTTAAGGGCTGAGGGTTTAAGCTAGTATTTCAAAGCCAATAAGGGCGGTGGGGTAGCCTTGTGGTTAAACCAGTCGCTCGTCAAGCGGGTTCGATTCCACAAATGGGTACAATATGTTAAGCCTATTTTTGGTGTCCCCTGCCATGATATTGCTGGAACATTGCTAAAAGCAGCATAAAACTGAAGTCACTCACTCACTTACTCAGTAAAAGCCAATAAAGCACACATCAAGAGTTGGTGAGGACTAAGGGCTAGTACTCTCAGTATTGAATTTAAGATGTCTCTGTTCACTGTCTCAGATGTATAAATAAATATACATATATTATGATTATCTCAGGGATTTACCTAGGATTTTAAACTTAGTGCCCTTGGCAGGCAAATTGGGGGAATGTCATTATTTTGTTCAAATTTCATTTTAAAGTTCTTATTTTCCCAAATTCAGATGTATTTAAACATTCAGTTTTAACATAATACAGGCTCTTTCTCTATATTGGTCCTATCTGGGATGTATAAGACACCTCGACAATCATCATGGCTCAGGAATGTTAGGACTTTAACTGACGTGTTGCAGACTTAGAGCCTCTGAGCCGCTCTAGATAGGTCCCTGCATCTGTTATTGTTGTCTTTCTTAAATTATCCATTTCAGCTCTCTTACAGTTTTTGAACTGCTGACACATTCTCATCTTTTGAAAATTATGTCAAACTTTCTGATTATCCAAAATAATGTGGATATTGAATCTTAGTTGATGCCAACTTACTATTTCTGATGTATCAAGTCAAGTATAAGACCGTAAGTATCTTTTGTTTATGGTACTGTAACCAGTCCTATTTTTGACCTCATTACTTCTTAATCTGTCTCAAATCGATCATGGCTTCTTACAGGATTGCCTTAGAGGTGTGTATGAGAACTGTCCAAAGAAGGAGTTTTACATTTAACAGGTCTTCTTTGCCTACTGATTTAATGAAACTGTAGGACTGCACATTTATGGATTGTTTTAGATTAGGAGGATGTCACAGGGCCCTTGTAACATGACCATGATTTGAAAGTTTTAATGTTAAGGGTGTCCCTAGTTTGCCAGGAGTACACCTCCATGACCCTTGGAACCCCTAGCTTAACCGCTTCATGGAATATGATACATATTGCTAAATACACAATAATACAAAATCTTATCGATATTCTAGCTTGGGTGTAAATTCATGTTATTCTCTAAATGCTACCAAATATGCCTACTTTCCTGAGAGCTGCTGAAATGAAGATGAAGTTTATGTGGAAATCAGGAAAACGATTTATGTTTTATTGTATTAAGAATGAAGTGTACAGCTGTTGAGTAGGGCTGGTTGAGAAAGGAACAAATAGACACATGCTAAGTGTTGTGCTGAATGAAATATGCTGTTATGCAATATTGAACTACCAATACTCTGTTGTCATAAGAAGCACTTACCGTGTCACAGTGCCTTAAGGTGTGCTGCTGTGTCCCTCGTGCACTGGTCAGTCAGAACCCTCTACTTCATGTCAATCCATCCATCCACAAACATGTCAGGTCACATTCACACAGGCAATGGCTTGCAGTCTGCTCCAGATTGGGGCTATACTGTTGAGTACCACTTCTTGTTTCTCCAGTGTATTTGACGCCAATCTAGTAAGATAAAACCCTGAACTCACCAAAGTTTTGTTCTGGAAATGATGTCATTATTTGTTATATCACAGATTTTGTGTCCTTTTTCATGACCTTGAAGGCAACAACCAATAAAAACGTCTCTTCTGAACATGAGCTCAGCACAGACATACATTTAAATTTGCTGTTTTGTGCAAAGGAGTCCTCTATTCAGAAGACTTATTTTGCACTTTTAGCTAGAACTGTATGTTTTTCCTGTGGAATGATGTCATTTTGCTGATTTGGGTTTAGTCTCAGATTATATGTGACAGAATATTGTAGGCTAAATGTCTTGAAAAGTTGAAGATTGTTGCTACTGGCAATGATCAATTTGTTTCAAGCATATGTAATACTTCTGTAAATGTTTTCTATTGAAGGCTGTATTTTTTCAAAAGTATCCCTTAAAGATTTTAATGAAATATTGCCGTAGATGTATGTTATTACAGAATTTTAGGACAGAAAGTCATACCAGAAACAACTAATAAGGCATTTGACCCTCTGTTCATTGTTTCTTGAGCTTGGGGAGATGTCTGGTTTGGTGTAGTTTGTTTCTGCACTAGACATGACTTGCGATATTTTCATTAACGTTTTCAAGAACTAACACTTTACGCCAAATTAATATGTAACCTTTTCTTCCAAGGAATTACCCTTATGGAAACTGAAAAAGAACAAATGTTGAACAAACTTTGTCAACTAGTATTACAGTGAGAAGTTTCTGGAGATGGTGCTCTACGCACTACTGCTGTTATTCTTTTACTGCCATTGTTTTTGTTGATTACACCTTGATGTTAACTATGTGTTACACCTTTCATTGATGGCCTTACCAACATTATGGAACCATTTTGTCAATACCTGACACTGTTTGTTTGAAGATATTGGATACTTGTTGACATTGTGTACGATTGAAAGAGGGTTGGATAGCGTTAGGAAATGTCTAATGGTGTGGGTCGTTTGTGAATCGAAAGGGTTGTCAGTAGTCAAGCTGAGACATGGGGTGGGGGTTGTGATATTGAGGGACAGTGTTGGTGGGGTAGGTAGATGAGGGGTGGAATCTGACAGGACGGGTAGGGGAGTGGTAGCAATGGTAGGACTAGGTAGGTAGACAAAATAGGATTAAGATCAGCTAAAAAAATTCTTGAGCTTCGGGAGATGCCAGGTTTGGTATATGAATTTTGTTTCGGGTAGGGAAATACGGTTGGTTTAGTTTGAGGTAAGTTGGGGTGGGAATGAATGGGCTGTTTCAGATTTGGGTAGGTAGATAGTACTTCTGCTAGATACTGTAGATTTGAAATTGGTTTACATGTGGTAGGACGGGGACAAGTAAGCTGTTATTGGATGGAGCATGTAGATAGTGAGGTGTCATGGTGTAGGAAGTGATCAGTAGTGGTAGGGTCGGAGGGTTAGGGTAGTGTGTTAAGGGTATATTGCAGGGTGTTGGTGAAATGCAGGGGCAAAGGGGTATACCTTGATACTTATTATATGACCGCAAGGCTAAAACTGAAAGTGGCAAGATGTGTTTACTAGGACCAGAAGCTCAGGTTCACATGTTGAAATTGAACACCATATGTTGTAATCAAGGTATGTGGCTTCTGTTGAGGGTATGTAAGCTCTTAGATAACAATGCTAATATCAAACTGCACTGAAGACTAATAAGTGCATAGTTATGTTTCTTAGTTACGCCAGGATCCTCTGTCACATGTTCAGATTCTTATTTGTCAACAACATACCTACGCTCATGGATATGACCAATTGGTAAAGTACTAGGACCTAAACACATTCATTTTACTGCTACACTATGTTTGATGTGGGAGAAAAATCTCTCTGACTTTAATGGGCATGATGGTTATATTTATTTATGATGTGTGTTGAGATTGAGAGTCATCTGTTTGTAGATACTTATTTATTGCCCCTACGTAATATTAGGGGTGAAACGGTATGCCCTTACCACGGTACGGTACGTATTGCGGTACAAGGCCTTCGGTTCGGTCCGTTTTGGTTCAGTATATGAGATATCATAATGCAGAAAATTGACAGCAAGAGCCAAACCTTACATTGTTTAATATCATGGGGAAAAAATAACCATAATGTTTGTCATTTTGAATGAACAAAACTGTCATGTTATGACTAGATACAAATGACAGTACAAAAACCAAAAATACCAAACTTTTGGATTGCATTACGGTATACCGAACCGAAGGCAATATACCGCCGTTCTACTAATATCGTGGTATACCGTTTCACCCCTATGTAATATTGGTCTAGTTCCTCTCCTGTTAGAAGTTCACAGTGCCATTGGTGAGTTAATTGTTGTTCTTGTAGCTGGATTAGCAAGTATTGGGGTTAGATTTGTGTCTTTTCAGCTGCTTTCTTCAACGAATATTTCTGAAAATATGACATAAAGGCAAAGAAGCAGGAACTTGTAACCAGGCCCCGATTTCTCGAAACAAACTTAAGTCTGAGTTTTGACTTGAGTTCGAATTTTTACTCAAATTTGAGAAAACGCATTTCCCAGAATGAACTGAAATCCCAGGATTTAATGTTGATATGGTTCTGAAATGGTGGGATTACAACAGATGGGGTAGTTACAGTTCCTGTCAAATAGATACCCGTATGAGTAAGTTGGGGCAGTAGGGTAGCCCAGTGGTTAAAGCATTCACTCGTCACACCAAAGACCTGGGTTTGATTCCCCACATGGGTACAATGTGTAAAGCCCTATTCTGGTGTCCCCCGCCGTGATATTGCTGGAATATTGCTCAAAGCGGTGTAAAACTGAACTCCCTCACAATGATTAAGATACAGCTCTAACACTAGAGATCACCCACGTCAGCTTTGTCCTCTAGGTTGAAGCCCATGTCAAGTATGATTCTCTTTTGACTAGTGAACTCACTTTATAAAAGTCAACATTATAGCACTAAAATTTACTGACAATTTTGATGAATTTTGGTCTGTGTTCAAAGTTTTTGGGCACGGACTGCATTCATCGATGCATCTTTGATTTTGCATTTTATGTGTTGGCATTGAAGAAACTAGAGGCATTCAACAAAAGGCATTGGATCATAGTTGTCACACCGTACCTATGACTCGACGAATTGCACAAGCAATGACATATTTGTGTAGAAGTCCCAATTACTGTTGACAAGTTACATGAGCGCAGACGTAGCTAGGTGGGTAGGTTTTTGTTTAGTTATTCGACTCTCACTGGCCATGGGTGATAGTTCCTTTCTTGACAATGTGGAAACGACTCTCACTGGCCATGGGTGATAGTTCCTTTCTTGACAATGTGGAAACGACTCTCACTGGCCATGGGTGATAGTTCCTTTCTTGACAATGTGGAAACGACTCTCACTGGCCATGGGTGATAGTTCCTTTCTTGACAATGTGGAAACGACTCTCACTGGCCATGAGTGAGAATTCCTTTCTTGACAATGTGGGTTTTTGTTTAGTTAAACGACTCTCACTGGCCATGGGTGATAGTTCCTTTCTTGACAATGTGGAAACCTGTTGTCATGGACACCAGAATTAAAGGTGATATATTTATAAAGATCACAAACCCTTGAACCTCCTAGTTTTTTAGATGGAATCCACCTTTTTACACTTAATTTTCACCTTCATATGTCTTAAGCTACTTTTTAACTTCCTTTGTTTTTATTCATAATGTTACATTTGACAATTAGATACCCTAAAAATACCACATATTGTGGATATATTTTTTGTTGTTGAAGTCACATGTGTTTGTTAGCTTTGATCAAGAGGTTGTTTACTCATGATGCTCATTCATTAGCCAAACGTCTTTCCACACTAAGGTGAGGATGTGGATGTATAGCTTCAACCATGAATAATTTATTCATAAATCAGTCTTAAGGAGACATTGTAAGACATACTGGTAGATCCAGTGAAGCCGAGGTGCAAGGGGTGCTGACTCCCTTTCTACAGACACCTTGTTTACTGACCCCTTGGCCACATCACTTCATTGCTTGGGTATCATGTGCACCCTCCTGTTTCAAAGACCTGGATCGGCCCCTCCTGTTGTGCGTGTTACATGTCATGTACTCAGGGTTTCCAGTAGTTCGATAAGGCTTTTGTGATGCTGCATTTTCTCAGCAGGTTACCTGTGGTCACAAGTTCCTCTATTTGAGAAATATCAGTACAGGTGCATCTAAAATTACAATCCTGCAAAACAATTATGGGCACCTTGCTAGTGCCTTAATTTAAAGGGGTACAGAGGTCAGGTTATTTATTTATTATTATTTATAGTCCTTGCATCTTTGATCAAAATAATTTGAAACTTACTCTTTTGTGTGTTAACTCAAATATGGTACTTGACAGTTACTGTCTGTTTCACATAAAGTAGGCATTTGAGCTCATCTGTAAGCCAGTGTGCTGAGTACCTTTAATAAAGTTACTTCTGTTATGATGTAGGTATGCATACTTCCTGGATTTTAAGCTATGCTATTTTTGTAACCCCAGATTTGTAATTAATGTTTTATCAATTTGTTTTAGATGCTGCTCCTATTCTTTTGTGAAGAAAAATATGAAAGAAAAACCTAATATTTTCAGCTCATCATTTTATTGATTGTTGCCTGTTATTTTAGAAAAGCTTGAGCAGTGTTCAGGGTTAGAGTGTGTGATGATTTCCACTGCTATACATGTTCCCCAGGCCTTTCAGTTCAATACTGACTACATTGAAAGTCTTGGGGTATAGAGGATGACAGGAGTGCAAGATAGTAACAAATATGTATATTTTCTTAGACGATGTTCCAGATGGACAATGATGGTGTACATGTGAATGTTTAAATTATGGTGGTTTGATTGTACATATTTTGACTCGGAGCTTGGGAGGAGTGGCTTGAAAGCACTGAATGAGCGTTTTGTGAGATCAGGAATAAAGAATGTATATCTGACATGCAGTGTTTCTTTTGTTTCTTGTTTGTCTAAACTCAGGAGATTTGATTTATCTGCTTTGATCATCCTCTTACTGAAATTATTATTATAGCACCCAGGGCCTAGATTTTCGAAGCTCTCTTAGCTCTAAGATAGTCGTAAGTTAATGGCAATGTATGGTACTTACGACTATCTTAGCCTAAGAGAGCTTCGACTAGGCCCAGAAAGCTAAATATGAGGCATTGCAACACTTTTCTACTGTTTTCTCTGTTCACCCAGCAAGAAAATGGGTACCCGGTGGAAAAAGTCATATGACTATAACCTTCTAGCACCTAACAGACAGCTTGGGTTATCCAGGTAATAATGTGGTGCTATTGATTGTTAGCCCTATGAGCATACCTAGTATGGAGTTTGGCGCTATATAAATGGACACATTATTATCAAAATTTGATTCATTATTACGTGGTACATACTATTGTTAAGAAATTAATTGGGTTGATGTTTATGCTAGAAATAATATTTCTCTTCTTAAATTTGACCTGAAATTTGTATGGTTTCTTCAGAAAGTATGTTTAGCCAAAACTGCAGCTTGTTTATATTTTCAACATTTTTGGTATCTTCCACACCGCATTAGTTATTTCCTACCAGTGAAGATATAGGTTGTAGAATTGGTCTTCCGCAACCCATGCTTGGAAGAGGTGGGGCGGTGGGGTAACCCATTGGTTAAGGCGTTCGCTCGTCACAGCGAAGACCCGGGATCGATTCCCCACATGGGTACAACGTGTGAAGCCCATTTCTGGTGTCCCGCGCCGTGATATTGCTGGAATATTGCTGAAAGCGGCGTAAAACTCAACTCACTCACTGGGAAGAGGCAACTAACTGGGTCGGGTGGTCAGGCTTGCTGACTTGGTCGACACATGTCATTGTTTCTCAATTGTGTAGATTGATGATCATGCTGTTTTTCACTGGATTGTTTGGTACAGACTCGATTACAGACAGACCGCCGCCATATAGCTGGAACATCGCTGAATGTGACATTAAACAACAAAGAAAGCAAACAGTTCTTTCCGCTATTTGTTACGGATACATTAAAATGATTCATATTCGGAAACACGACAAAGAGTAAACTGACAAGGAACACCTGGCTCTCCCGGCAGTGTAATGATGCTGCTGACATTAACAGAACTTCCCAAATATTTGGTGTGTTTGAAGAAGTCATAATTCATTCAGTTTTCAAGGCTGAAAGTATCAACACCCAGCGGTGGCAGAATGTGACAGTTTATAGCAAACAACAATCATTGTCTATCTAGAATCCCCCACTCACATTCAATACCTGCAGTATACCTGCTCTCTTAAGATAGTCGTAAGTTAATGGCAATGTATGGTACTTACGACTATCTTAGCGCTAAGAGAGCTTCGAAAATCTAGGCCCAGAAAGCTAAATATGAGGCATTGCAACACTTTTCTACTGTTTTCTCTGTTCACCCAGCAAGAAAATGGGTACCCGGTGGAAAAAGTCATATGACTATAACCTTCTAGCACCTAACAGACAGCTTGGGTTATCCAGGTAATAATGTGGTGCTATTGATTGTTAGCCCTATGAGCATACCTAGTATGGAGTTTGGCGCTATATAAATGGACACATTATTATCAAAATTTGATTCATTATTACGTGGTACATACTATTGTTAAGAAATTAATTGGGTTGATGTTTATGCTAGAAATAATATTTCTCTTCTTAAATTTGACCTGAAATTTGTATGGTTTCTTCAGAAAGTATATTTAGCCAAAACTGCAGCTTGTTTAGTATTTTCAACATTTTTGGTATCTTCCACACCGCATTAGTTATTTCCTACCAGTGAAGATATAGGTTGTAGAATTGGTCTTCCGCAACCCATGCTTGGAAGAGGTGGGGCGGTGGGGGTAGCCCATTGGTTAAGGCGTTCGCTCGTCACAGCGAAGACCCGGGATCGATTCCCCACATGGGTACAACGTGTGAAGCCCATTTCTGGTGTCCCGCGCCGTGATATTGCTGGAATATTGCTGAAAGCGGCGTAAAACTCAACTCACTCACTCACTGGGAAGAGGCAACTAACTGGGTCGGGTGGTCAGGCTTGCTGACTTGGTCGACACATGTCATTGTTTCTCAATTGTGTAGATTGATGATCATGCTGTTTTTCACTGGATTGTTTGGTACAGACTCGATTACAGACAGACCGCCGCCATATAGCTGGAACATCGCTGAATGTGACATTAAACAACAAAGAAAGCAAACAGTTCTTTCCGCTATTTGTTACGGATACATTAAAAATGATTCATATTCGGAAACACGACAAAAGAGTAAACTGACAAGGAACACCTGGCTCTCCCGGCAGTGTAATGATGCTGCTGACATTAACAGAACTTCCCAAATATTTGGTGTGTTTGAAGAAGTCATAATTCATTCAGTTTTCAAGGCTGAAAGTATCAACACCCAGCGGTGGCAGAATGTGACAGTTTATAGCAAACAACAATCATTGTCTATCTAGAATCCCCCACTCACATTCAATACCTGCAGTATACAGCCTTCTCAGGGATGGCATTCGCGAGGCATCTCCTTTCTCAAATCGTTCGTCTTCATAACAACAATACTATCCTCCTCCATTCCTGCTGCAGTGTCTGCTTGAGTTCATTCAGGTTTTGAAATGGCGTTCTCTCTTGGCATTAGTACATGTACATAAGATACTGCCAAGCCAGGGTTCCATTCTTTGCATTCTTTGTCATTAGATTTGGGAGTTAAGTTTCTTATAGGTGAATAAGTAATGCTCATGTATATATTTACTTCTGGAAAATTTTGTTCTTTTGTTTTGTCTGGGTCTGTAGAGATTTCCTCCCACAGCGCTATTCAAAGCTGGTGATATAAACGAAAACAAGGAACGCTTGGATTTTCCTGTGTTCCCCTATTTGTTTCTCTCAGTATATAATCAATCACTGAATTATCTCACTAATCACCGTCATAATGCACACTAACTGTATGTGGACTGTACGTCTGACTATCGTATGCAACTATTTCGGTAGCATTGCTATTATGTTTGAACCATGTAACCACATGTAGAAGTGAAACTGCCCCCATTATGTATACAGTATACTTAGATTAGCCTATGCCCCTGCAACTTTTATTGGAATAGCGAAAATGTTTTGTTACCACTGCTACAAGGACAATACTATCTGATTTCATTTGAGAAACGCTTCTCATTAATAGCTAATATACTTAAAGTGTAGTCTTAAGAATTTTTTTTGACATTAATAACCGTTGTAATAACCTATTATTTGTATTGATTGTATTTATTTTCAATATATATGTA